ACATGTGCTACAACATAGATAAACCACGAGGACCTTATTCTAAGGGAAGTTTAACCTGTCACGAAAAATTAAAATCCTGTACAATTCCACTCAAATGAAGTAGTTAAAGTATTTAGAATTATAGGGAAAAGAAAATAGGTGACTGTCAAATGCCTGAAAGTGAAGAAGGAAAAAAACTGAATGGGTTCAGAGTTTCAGTTTTGAACAACAAGAGAGTTCCAGAGCTCTGGGGCACAGTGTGAATGTCTTTAACACTACTGAGTGTGTGCAGCTGACAGGGGTAAAGGGCTGAACTGAAAGATATTTTTAACACAATGAAAATAAATGCCAATAAAAGTCAGCAAAATGGAAAAGGAATCTCCAAAATTTAAAAAGAGGTAAAAATATGAGATGGCATGATTATTTAACTATTTTCATTAAGCACATAATGATATAAAAATTGAAATTCATAGTCTATATATTTTAGTTTTAAGAAGATATTTATAATATTTAAGAGCTTATAATCCCCAAAATGTGGGAGGCTAATGCAGGAGACCTGCAAGCAGAGCACAGCTGGGGTAATCTAGTGATTTAGCAAGACCTTGTCTGAAAATTTTTAAATAAAATTAGAATTAAATAAAATTTAAAAATTTTAAATACATAAAATTAAAATTTTTTACATAAAATTAATAAGTGTAGCTTGGTGAAAAAGATCTAGGTCTAGGTTTGGCCCCAAGACAGAAAGAAAGAGAGAGAAAGAGAGAGAAAGAGAGAAAGAGAGAGAGAGAGAGAGAGAGAGAGAGAGAGAGAGAGAGAGAGAAAGAGAGAGAGAGAGAGAAAAGACAGACAGACACAGAGACAGAGAGAGACAGGCAGAGACAGAGTGACAGAGTCTGCAGAGTAAAAGTTTATCTTTAAAAAAATCTTATTTATTTATTTATTTATTTAGTACAAGGTCTCACTATGCAGCTCAGACTCATAGTGATCCTCCTGTCTCAGCCTTCCCAGCACTGGGATTACAGTATGCACCACCACGCCCAGTTTCAGTGGTTGACATGGTGCATCCAGGTTCCAGGGCTGCCCAGCATGACATACTGGGGATCAAACTCGGTCCTTGCACTTGCCAGATAGGCGCTTGGACTGCTGAACTATCTCCCCAGCCCCCAAAGGTCTATCTTTTAATTTCATTTTTTAAGTATATAGTGCAGTAATTGATATAAAATGCTATTTTAAAATTGAAATCTTAAAAATACAATATTATAGCATCTAAGAAAATTTAAGATTTCATCTTATTTGTAATTACATTCACTAGATTTACAAAAATTGTTTCAATATACATAAAGCTTTGTCAGTTTAGAAGCTGAGTTACTTAAAATGGAAATCAAGCTTATTAATCAAATTTCATTTTAAGAACTTCAAGGTATTTAAGTTTGCAAAACATTAATAAGAGGCCTTCATGTGTTTGTTAAAATTTGCTAGATTGATAGAACATTTGAAGCTGAATTTTGCTTAAAAACAGCTAGGCTTCTGGAGTTATAGCCACTATAAATGAAGTATTTATTTTTAAATTCAAAGTAAGTTTCTGAATCGCCTCTTCTGTATTGGGCCCGCACACATGCATGCGGGCACCCTCACAACACGCACACACAGAGGGACCACAAACTTCATATTTAACAACTACTAATAGCAATTGACACATCTGACCTGTACTAAAATTCATTATTTTGTAATTTCAGATAATAAATTCAACATGTTCACATAAAATAAATTCCACATTTGATTTTGACTGCATTTCTAATTTGAAATAGCTACAAGTAGTACAAATCGAAAATCAGACAAAATGGGCTTTTTCACGAAAGTGAAGGACATCCTTTTCAGAAAAAAAAGCAAATTGCAATACTTTTATATGACAAGAAAAAAGGATTTGATCATATTACTTATCAATAATTACAGTAATCACAAGCAAATGATTAAATAAATTAATTGGGGTACACAGTCTCAATTTTGGCAATTCAAGTTGAAACTCATAAGAATTACCATAGAATTCCTTTTAATTTCATGATATTTCATGGGTTAATATTTGTACAAGTTTAGAACTATAGTGGAAGAACTCAGGAGTATTTTTAACTAAAATTTAACAGCCCAATTATTTTAATCTCATTAAAATGAAAATAAGAATGCTCCCTTTCCATTAATACATTTGTACATGCAAGCCTTTGCATTTTTCAAAGCACTTTCATAAAACTTAGTTGATCCTAATAACAATGCCACAAGATTAATTGGTGTAAAACCCCATTTTACAGATAAGAAAGTAAGATTCAGAGAAATTAAGTCCATTGCCCAAGGGTGCTGGACATATAGGCTAGCTTCCAGACTTGAATTTGTCTAATCTGTTTTCTCCATTCTTTGCTTAAATTTGAGCCATGCCTTATTTTTGGAAGCCAAAACTGGAGAGATGCTAACTGTAACAGTTATCTTTGGGTAACTGTGGGGCTGAGCTGCAGCTGAGCTGCAAGTGGGCGAACTCCTTGGGGCTCCGTGTTCTCGGGCTGGCCCGGCTCCATAGGCAAGCCAAGTAAACAAGTTGCGGGGGCTAGAGCGAGGCCCCTCCGGGGGTGTCTGGCCTAGGTGTTCCCC